GTGTGGTGCTGAGTCAGGGGTGTGTGGTGCTGAGTCAGGTGTGTGGTGCTGAGTCAGGGGTGTGTGGTGCTGAGTCAGGTGTGTGGTGCTGAGTCAGGGGTGTGTGGTGCTGAGTCAGGTGTGTGTGGTGCTGAGTCTCAGGTGTGTGGTACTGAGTCAGGGGTGTGTGGTGCTGAGTCTCAGGTGTATGGTGCTGAGTCAGGTGTGTGTGGTGCTGAGTCAAGTGTGTGTGGTGCTGAGTCAGGTGTGTGTGGTGCTGAGTCAGGGGTGCGTGGTGCTGAGTCTCAGGTGTGTGGTGCTGAGTCAGGTGTGTGTGGTGCTGAGTCAGGTGTGTGTGGTGCTGAGTCAGGGGTGTGTGGTGCTGAGTCTCAGGTGTGTGGTGCTGAGTCAGGTGTGTGTGGTGCTGAGTCAGGGGTGTGTGGTGCTGAGTCAGGTGTGTGGTGCTGAGTCTCAGGTGTGTGGTGCTGAGTCTCAGGTGTGTGGTGCTGAGTCTCAGGTGTGTGGTGCTGAGTCTCAGGTGTGTGGTGCTGAGTCAGGTGTGTGTGGTGCTGAGTCAGGTGTGTGGTGCTGAGTCAGGTGTGTGTGGTGCTGAGTCAGGTGTGTGGTGCTGGAGTCAGGTGTGTGGTGCTGAGTCTCAGGTGTGTGGTGCTGAGTCAGGTGTGTGGTGCTGAGTCAGGTGTGTGTGGTGCTGAGTCAGGTGTGTGGTGCTGAGTCAGGTGTGTGTGGTGCTGAGTCTCAGGTGTGTGGTGCTGAGTCAGGTGTGTGGTGCTGAGTCTCAGGTGTGTGGTGCTGAGTCAGGTGTGTGGTGCTGAGTCAGGTGTGTGGTGCTGAGTCTCAGGTGTGTGGTGCTGAGTCAGGTGTGTGGTGCTGAGTCAGGTGTGTGGTGCTGAGTCTCAGGTGTGTGGTGCTGAGTCTCAGGTGTGTGGTGCTGAGTCAGGTGTGTGGTGCTGAGTCAGGTGTGTGGTGCTGAGTCAGGTGTGTGGTGCTGAGTCAGGTGTGTTGTACTGAGTCTCAGGTGTGTGGTGCTGAGTCTCAGGTGTGTGGTGCTGAGTCTCAGGTGTGTGGTGCTGAGTCTCAGGTGTGTGGTGCTGAGTCTCAGGTGTGTGGTGCTGAGTCTCAGGTGTGTGGTGCTGAGTCAGGTGTGTGGTGCTGAGTCTCAGGTGTGTGGTGCTGAGTCAGGTGTGTGGTGCTGAGTCAGGTGTGTGGTGCTGAGTCTCAGGTGTGTGGTGCTGAGTCTCAGGTGTGTGGTGCTGAGTCAGGTGTGTGGTGCTGAGTCAGGTGTGTGTGGTGCTGAGTCAGGTGTGTGTGGTGCTGAGTCAGGTGTGTGTGGTGCTGAGTCAGGTGTGTGTGGTGCTGAGTCAGGTGTGTGTGGTGCTGAGTCAGGTGTGTGTGGTGCTGAGTCAGGTGTGTGGTGCTGAGTCAGGTGTGTGGTGCTGAGTCAGGTGTGTGGTGCTGAGACAGCGCTGGTGCCACCTCTGGGGCTACTCATGCCCGTGCCACCTCTGGGGCTACTCATGCCCGTGCCACACCGTACAAAATACAACACCCTAACCTAACCAACCCAAGCCACCCACCTCTGGAAGTTTAATACTACAGACCGTTAAAAAAACTGCTAAATACTCCACGGAGAACAGATCCCCAATTTTAGACTCGGGGAAAACTCAGGTTGTCGCTCTAGTTGCCGATATTTCTTCAATGGTGGCACTGGGGCCGACCCCAACTGGCCTATGACGCGCCCATACCTTCCATGTGTCATCTGGGGAAGTAGCCACACCTGTCCCCACCTACACCTCCAGCACCCACACCTGTCCCCACCTACACCTCCAGCACCCACACCTGTCACCACCTACACCACCAGCACCACACCTGTCCCCACCTACACCACCAGCACCCACACCTGTCACCACCTACACCTCCAGCACCCACACCTGTCACCACCTACACCACCAGCACCACACCTGTCACCACCAGCACCCACACCTGTCACCACCTACCCCACCAGCACCACACCTGTCCCCACCTACACCACCAGCACCACACCTGTCACCACCTACACCACCAGCACCCACACCTGTCCCCACCTACACCTCCAGCACCCACACCTGTCACCACCTACACCACCAGCACCACACCTGTCACCACCTACACCACCAGCACCCACACCTGTCACCACCTACACCACCAGCACCACACCTGTCCCCACCTACACCACCAGCACCACACCTGTCATCACCTACACCACCAGCACCCACACCTGTCCCCACCTACACCTCCAGCACCCACACCTGTCACCACCTACACCTGTCACCACCTACACCACCAGCACCACACCTGTCCCCACCTACACCTGTCCCCACCTACACCACCAGCACCCACACCTGTCCCCACCTACACCTCCAACACCCACACCTGTCCCCACCTACACCTCCAGCACCCACACCTGTCCCCACCTACACCACCCACACCTGTCCCCCACCTACACCACCAGCACCACACCTGTCCCCACCTACACCTCCAGCACCACACCTGTCCCCACCTACACCTCCAGCACCCACACCTGTCCCCACCTACACCTCCAGCACCGCACCTGTCCCCACCTACACCTACACCACCCACACCTGTCCCCACCTTCACCTACACCACCCACACTTGTCTCCATGTATCTCCCCCCCCCCCAGTATATCTGCCCACATATTCAGATATTTTAGGCTACGAAATACATAATGTATTGACCAAACCGTTGAACATCTGACGTATTAGTAAACAAACTCAAGCACCGTAATATGGACGTATTGTCACCCTCGGCCACAATGATAGGAAACTTGCCAGGGTTCCGTACGGTTCTGGCCAGCCAAAAACAGTTGCATTTTTAACGGAATTAAAAATTTGAATTTGAATTTGAAAAATAACCGTTTGGGAGCCGGCAGGAAAAACCTTCACCAAACACTACTGTTTTCCTGCCATTCATTTCATCACGGAGGATGCAACTATCAACCTTATTTAACCTTAATCATAAGGCTGGTAATTCCTTGCGTCTGTTTCCCCGCCTCGTTATAGCTACTGTTTCCAACTTTGATCCTTATGGCTGCATGTCACAAGGCTCTTATTTAGTAGGGTGTTGCTGATGAGCGCTATTTCCTCACACTATAAGGCTCAGTTTCTTCCTATTCAAAGGTCTTATACATCTTTCTCTCTGGCTAACTGGCAAGTTATTCGTCATGCCGGCCTCTTCAAGGTTCGCCTTTCCCTTCCTGTGTCTCTACGGCCGCGCCAGTACGTCGCTTTTTGGACGTATTACACCACAGTGTGATGTACTAGTAATTAGTCAACTATGGTCACTGCTATTGGTCCACGAGAGGTCCCTGCTATTGGTCCACGTGAGGCCGCTGCTATTGGTCCACGAGAGGCCCCTGCTATTGGTCCACGAGAGGCCCCTGCTATTGGTCCACGAGAGGCCCCTGCTATTGGTCCACGTGAGGCCCCTGCTATTGGTCCACGAGAGGCCCCTGCTATTGGTCCACGTGAGGCCGCTGCTATTGGTCCACGTGAGGCCCCTGCTATTGGTCCACGAGAGGCCCCTGCTATTGGTCCACGTGAGGCCGCTGCTATTGGTCCACGAGAGGCCCCTGCTATTGGTCCACGAGAGGCCCCTGCTATTGGTCCACGAGAGGTCCCTGCTATTGGTCCACGTGAGGCCGCTGCTATTGGTCCACGAGAGGCCCCTGCTATTGGTCCACGAGAGGCCCCTGCTATTGGTCCACGAGAGGCCCCTGCTATTGGTCCACGAGAGGCCCCTGCTATTGGTCCACGAGAGGCCCCTGCTATTGGTCCACGAGAGGCCCCTGCTATTGGTCCACGAGAGGCAACTGCTATTGGTCCACGAGAGGCCGCTGCTATTGGTCCACGAGAGGCCGCTGCTATTGGTCCACGTGAGGCCCCTGCTATTGGTCCACGAGAGGCCGCTGCTATTGGTCCACGTGAGGCCCCTGCTATTGGTCCACGTGAGGCCCCTGCTATTGGTCCACGTGAGGCCCCTGCTATTGGTCCACGAGAGGCCCCTGCTATTGGTCCACGAGAGGCCCCTGCTATTGGTCCACGAGAGGCCCCTGCTATTGGTCCACGAGAGGCCCCTGCTATTGGTCCACGAGAGGCCCCTGCTATTGGTCCACGAGAGGCAACTGCTATTGGTCCACGAGAGGCCGCTGCTATTGGTCCACGAGAGGCCGCTGCTATTGGTCCACGTGAGGCCCCTGCTATTGGTCCACGAGAGGCCGCTGCTATTGGTCCACGAGAGGCCCCTGCTATTGGTCCACGTGAGGCCCCTGCTATTGGTCCACGAGAGGCCGCTGCTATTGGTCCACGAGACGCAACTGCTATTGGTCCACGAGAGACCGCTGCTATTGGTCCACGAGAGGCCCCTGCTATTGGTCCACGAGAGGCAACTGCTATTGGTCCACGAGAGGCCGCTGCTATTGGTCCACGAGAGGCTGCTGCTATTGGTCCACGTGAGGCCCCTGCTATTGGTCCACGTGAGGCCCCTGCTATTGGTCCACGTGAGGCCGCTGCTATTGGTCCACGTGAGGCCCCTGCTATTGGTCCACGTGAGGCCCCTGCTATTGGTCCACGTGAGGCCCCTGCTATTGGTCCACGTGAGGCCCCTGCTATTGGTCCACGAGAGGCCCCTGCTATTGGTCCACGAGAGGCAACTGCTATTGGTCCACGAGAGGCCGCTGCTATTGGTCCACGAGAGGCCGCTGCTATTGGTCCACGTGAGGCCCCTGCTATTGGTCCACGAGAGGCCGCTGCTATTGGTCCACGAGACGCAACTGCTATTGGTCCACGTGAGGCCCCTGCTATTGGTCCACGTGAGGCCCCTGCTATTGGTCCACGTGAGGCCGCTGCTATTGGTCCACGTGAGGCCCCTGCTATTGGTCCACGTGAGGCCCCTGCTATTGGTCCACGAGAGGCAACTGCTATTGGTCCACGAGAGGCCGCTGCTATTGGTCCACGAGACGCAACTGCTATTGGTCCACGTGAGGCCCCTGCTATTGGTCCACGTGAGGCCCCTGCTATTGGTCCACGTGAGGCCGCTGCTATTGGTCCACGTGAGGCCCCTGCTATTGGTCCACGTGAGGCCCCTGCTATTGGTCCACGTGAGGCCGCTGCTATTGGTCCACGTGAGGCCCCTGCTATTGGTCCACGTGAGGCCCCTGCTATTGGTCCACGTGAGGCCGCTGCTATTGGTCCACGTGAGGCCCCTGCTATTGGTCCACGTGAGGCCCCTGCTATTGGTCCACGTGAGGCCCCTGCTATTGGTCCACGTGAGGCCGCTGCTATTAGTCCACGAGAGGCCCCTGCTATTGGTCCATCACCAGCACGCCACTATGGTGGGTGTCACAGGAATACAATAAGGAGCCGTGACGTTGTCAGAGATGAATCATGTCACAGAGTAACACACTGA